AACTTCTTAACTAGAGCTCTAAAATTTTGTTGATTAAAGTCTAATTTCAAAAGCTAACTTTTTAATTGGGAACGCTAGGGCCTGCTGGCTCCAGCAAGCTTGGTAGAGGTCAAAAGATTGTTGGAGACCTAATTTTTCATTTCTAATATAAAAGGAAGCCTTGCCCTTTTCCTTGCAAAGATAGACCTTGAAGTGTTAGCAGGGAAACAAGGAATGTATCCATCAAAGGCTCTCATGGTGAGGTTATACAAAGCCTCCCAAGACAGTGTGGGAAGCCAACAGAGTTTGCAAACACTCCAAAGGAAATTAGCTGAACTTGGCCTGCAAATTCCAAACACAGAGAAGGGTTCAGTAGCTGGCACCTAGTCTAGAATTAGAGACTCAAGCTCAATTCCTTACTCCATCACAGATTTTCTGGGTAGCTTTGAACGTATCTCTCCACTCCAGTTCTGCACCTGGAAAATGAAGATAAATACTCTCAACTTCCCCTTACTGCAACACGAAAATAAACACATTAAACTGGGAGGCAGTCAAATAGCTTGGCAATGGAGCATGAGCACTGCAGGCAGATAGGAAATCCACATGGAAAGAACAAAGTCCTGCCCCATTCCATAACGAGATGCCCAGTGACACCTTCCTGACCCTTCCTYAAGCCAAAGGGAGGTCCATGGAGCGCAGAAAGCAGAGGAGAAGCATCCTACACCCTCCAAGCGAGTGCAAGCTCCCACGGAGCCCAAGGAGACCAGACTTTCTCCTGCTCACCACCCCCAAACTCAGGGACAACCTCTGCTATCCCAATGGCAKGCAAGTTCCTCCAAGAACACCTCAGAGGAGAGGCCCAACTTGGGTGCTCTGAACACAGAGGAGGATCCTGTCTCCTCCACCAACCCTCAAATCCTCGGAAGCGCCGCCGAATGAGCAGAATGTGTCAGGGATGTCCTGCTAGGAAGGGGGTGGGRGGCCTTGCTGCAGTGGTGGTGGGGGGACCTGCCCCCATGTCCCCTCCACAGGCAAACAGGGGCCTGTTTGCACAAGACAGCGGCGAGGGAGCGGCACGAGGGCGCCTCGCACGTGGGAAAGGGCTTGTTTGCCAAGCGCCAGCAGGAGCTCTGAAGGAAAAAACAGGAGGGTGGGRACAGGAGACAAACACATTTATCTCCGATTAAAAAAAAAAAACAGGCGATAGGGTGGGAAACACTACAAGCAAAATAGTGTATTTTTTCTTTTTAATAGAGTCAAAAAGTTAAAAATGGAATAAAAAGTGCCTCGATTAAAACACACTGATCCCCCCCGGGCAAATCCTAGCGGAGCCTCTCGTCGTCTCGGAGCAGGCCGCGCTGATCCCCGCGTCGGCCCAGCCCGCGCTCGAGGCCCGCGACACGCCGCCAGCGGCAGCGCCAGCTAAAAACCTCTTTGTTTCCATCCGGTCATATGCAGCGGTGGAAAAGCTGCTCAAAACATGAAAGGAAAACAACCGAGGGCTGTTGCTATTCCAAGAAAYAAACTGGGAGCTGGATCCCGCGACGCGCAGAGCACTCGCAGCGCCGGCTGATGTGGGATGTCACAGGATGGCTCCGAGCTGGAGCCGACGGGCAAGGCAGCCAATTCTGCCCAGCTTCACTTAAAATCATTACTTCTCCCACATGGATTTTGCAGCTTGTCTTTATTGCTGGCACTAATACTGTAAACACATTCTATAAAGAGAATAATGCTCAAGTTTTCAGYGGTTGCTCATCAGAAGGATACAAGGCCTCCCAAATTTAGCTGGCACCTCCCAAATTTACCTGATAGCTAATACACCATCTTCCCTTTAAAAGTAAATGAATGAAAAGCCACGTTGAAGTCACTGCCTTGTGGATTTCCTGTGTGAAGTGACCTTSTGGAAAACAAACATGCAAAATGACTTCAGATCTCAAATACAGCCCCAACTTTTCCAAAGAACTATAAATAAAAACTGTATTTCAGATGCTTTTTATCTGAAAAAATTCGTATAATTTAAAGAGAACATAAAAATAAGCTTTTATTACTTAAATAATAGTTTGCATTTTTGTATTACTTAAGCAATACATAAGAACTAAAGACAACAATGTTTGTCTGTTACAGACTGAGGTTTACTCAGAAAAAATTCAGACCTTTTCATCAGACCCTCTAGAATTCTCCTTGCCCTCTCACAGGGGCTCGCTGGCACCACGTACATTATGAAAAAGAGAAGGCTAAGCAGATATCCACACAAGATAATACATTCCAACCCTCGAGCTGAGCTCAGTGCAGACAATTAAATCCTGTTCTCCAATCCCTTCCCACTCCTTCGGTTCTGCCGCTGTGAGGACACAACATTTCCTGCATCTGGTTGTATCTCTCCAGCCACAGCTTTGCTCCTTCTACCATTTTTTTTTAAGAGACACGCTGCCTCCTGTTCTCAAAGCTAAGCCATTCCCACGGAACCTCTCCAGCCTCCATGACTCCCACGTCACCTTACTCATTCATTTGGGCAGCCCGAAACCAAGCCACTGCCTCTGACTTCTGAAAATGCTGCTCTTTGCATCTTCTGCCTCTTTCCTCTAAAACACAGGCTCTGATCTTCAAAGTCCTAACTTCCTTTTTTTAAATTCCTCCCCAATAATTTCTTTACAAAAGTTCTGTTACAACAATGAACACTTTAAACTCTAAATCTATGGTTTAGCAGTATTGTATAAATCTAAAAATGTTATAAATACTGATATATTTGGTACAGCATCTCTCTCATCTCTGCATGCTGTCCTCGACTGGCTTCTCCAGAAGCCCCAAACCAGCTGGAAAGGTTTTCATTCCCCTGAATGCACAACCTGACTCTTGAGAAAGCCTCTTGCCACTTTGCCATCCTTCACAGGAGCTCCTGGTCCTTCTGGATGGAGGCTGCCTCCTCCTGCCCATTTCTGTATTGCTGGGCTGGAAACAAACCCAACACCCCAATACCAATGATTATTCTATGGAGACCTGAGTGTATTTTAATTTCAGAAGTCAGCAATTCACACCCAAGGCTCCAGGGTTTCCAAATTTCTAGGGAAAGGGCAAGATATCAGAAGAAGAAGGGATAACTCAATGTTCAGAATCCACAGTTTTGGCCCCCCACCTTTTTTTTAAAGCACACCGGACCTGAAAGACTAAAAAAGACTAAGGTCTTTGGAAAACGCAGTCACAACACATCCACCACAATCTAAACTCACACTTCCAAATAAAAAGCTCTTATCTTTAGATATACTCAAAGGGAATTCCTAATGTCAACTGCAACATGTAGTTTATGTAACGGATTTTAAAAGTCAACACTAACAAAAATGCACCATACAGTCACACACCACCACTTCCCCATTGCTGGATGGCAAAGTAACCACACAAGAGAAGACGAAGTATTTTGTGATACTAATACAGAAGACAGAGACCATCCTTGCAGTCTTATTCATATCATACTCCTGGCATTCTATACATGAAGTATCACATAGGARGTGTTCTCCATTTAATGAGAAGGAAAAAAAAAGGGGGGAAATAAACTCAGGTACTTACAAAGTGTCAACCAGAGCAGTACATGTTGCATGAAAGAGAGATACGTGCTGAAACACTTCAAAGGGGATGTGAAAGACAAGCAGAGGCCTGTGGTTTGTCGCAAGGGTTAGCCACGCTTGCTCCACGGCTGCTGCTGCGCTGCAAGAGACCCACCTGCCTATTACAGCCATATTGCTTCAAATCCTTTTTATCACTACCAGAGAGGAAAAGTGGATTTGCATATTATGGCAAGGCTATCATTTGGTAATATTAAATAATGACTACAAATAAATTACTTCTAAAACAAGTGACATGAGCATAAAAAATATTGGCAGTGCTCGTAATTCCATACTGCCTCTGCAGTAATGATAGCCTTACGCTATTCCAAGTTTATAGAAAGATTTTGCAGTAGAAAAATAACGATAGTAAAGCCTTCCTTTCATAATTTCATTATTCCTGCAAAAGCACCTTTTTAACATGCAAATATAATGACCAAAACATTATCACACAGCACCAATTTCAAGATTCTGAATATAATTTTTGAATGTAGAAAAAAATCTCAGATCAGTAAAGAAATTTCAGCTGTCCAAGTGCTAAAAGAAATATAAAAGAACTGAAATAAACTTAAAAAAATCAGCTCAAATAAGATACTGACAGCTAATGCAATATACAAGTAATTTCTTACATTCTCTTGTGTTTGTAATACTGAATCCAAATTCCAGTAACTGAGACACAGATAAATAAAAACATAAACATAAATTTGCATGCCCATCAGTATGTAAAGCTTACAAGGAAGTTAACAAAATTCTACAACACAAAAATAGGGCAAGTCTACAGCAAGGAGTACTCGCTGGCAACTTAAATCTATGTGTGGTTCAATCTGCAGACACTGAATTGCCTTTTTCCCCTAAACCAAAACAATGATTATACTGCCCTTCCCACAATAACTAAAGGAAGGAAATTAATGCATCTTGATGGGAGGCCTAGTGGAACTCAGATCTGCTCTTTCATGCAGAGAGCACAGGAAGCTTGGGGTTAATTTTTGGCATTTTTTAAAAAAACACTATCAAAGAGCAGGAGGAGGTTTTTTTTTTTTAAATTATGTATAAAATGTTAAGTAACAAGAAATTAAGACTTACTGAGGGGAGGCGGAGTGGAATTAATAGATCCTTGTAAGTAACACTAAGTACGGTACATTTAGAAAGGGGAAAGATTTTACTCGAACATAGGGGGAAAAAAAATCCCACACACTTCATTATACAAAACCAGCGGTTATGAAATTACCTCCTAAACACTTACCTTCTCAAACGCAGAAAAGCAGTCAAACTAAACAACTAAAGTTGGATTTTTTTCTTCACTTTTTCCTTCACATTTCCTTTTCGCTACTGCAGGAACAGCGCTTGCCCTCCCAGGGCAGCAGCTAGGGCATCCTGCCCAGGGGCCCAAGGGACAAGTGCCACGGCGCACGTGTGAAAGGATACGAGGCGTCCCCTCGGTGCGGCACACCAGGTAGAGACAGGCGGCGATGACGTGGGTCATCTTCCTCCCGCGGGTCAGGTGCTTGCTCACAGCCATCTTGAAGAAATTGAAGGCTGTGTCCAGACAGTGCTGATTGAGCTGGAGCTGGTTTCCCAAGTGGTGGATCTGCCGTTTCCCTACAAAAACAACAAGAAAGAAAGGATGTTGAACAACTTGGCAGCTATGGTGGTTTATTTTATATTGTCCTCTTTTTTTTTTTAAGGCAAAACTGAAGGGGGAATTTTGGTTTTCATGTCTGTGTGAAATACTTAAGTTGTACCTGATATTTGCCCAGCTTCTGGGAGCTGTAAATCATCAGAACCAAAAAAAGAGTCTATGATTCATTTTGGACACCCAGTGCTCAAACACATGTGATCCCTATGCCCTGGAAGACCAAGGTGCAGCCTTCAGCCTAAGTGATGGGTCACAGCACAGCCAAGACCTCTGAGGCAAAAGGCCATTCTTGCCCTGCTGGAGAGAGACTGATCATTAACACTTGGTTATCTTTAGAGATGAGTTTCTGAAAACATCAGATCATGGCACGCTGGCCACTAAGGTGCAAACAAACGAGAGCTCTTGCTGCAGGTCTGTGAGAAGCCACGACGTCTGCAGCTCCTCCCAGCACAGACCCAACCTCGATGCCAGGGAGCTGTTCTCGGGGCACCCCTT